GACGCTAAAGTCCAGTGTGTCTCCCAGCTAATCCATCGGAAACAGCAAAGAGTGGGTTCCACTGCCCAAGCCTGCTCTCCTCTATACCACCCAGTAATTTTCCCATTTGCTCTGGATCCTAATACTGAGCCTGCTGAGGCCCAAATTCCCATTTGGTCAGAAAAACCTTCCTTGATATACCACCAGGGAACCCCAGAACATGAGAGGATACATGCCCCTCAGCCCCTTGCTATTTGGCAGCCTTTGGACGGGAGATGAGAAAATGATGAATCTGACTCTTTTATTCCAGGCTCCCAAAGTTGGGGAAGCTGTCCAGTCTCCAGGCCAGGAAAGATTTTAATCTCTTTGTGATCAGATAAATGGGAGAGTGGAGGAGGTTTGCCACCCCGCTGAGGAGGGCCATTCAAAGCTGGTTCCTGTAATAAAGTGATTTAATAGATCTAAAGAGGCCAATTCCCTTCTTTCTCCCACAATTACTTCCTGTGGGTTATCATTCACATATGTAAATGAGGGGGGGGGCCAAGCCATCAGTCTGAAACTTTCTAATGGAGGGGGGTGAAACAGGGTGTTGCAAGGGGGTAGCTAAGCATCCTGCTACTGTAGGTCCTCATCCTCTAGGCAGATGTTAAAGTAGCCCAGTAACCCCAAGGCCCCAACAGTAACTGGAGGTCCCCATCGCCCTGCATCCTCTGTGTCCCTTGTTCACCCCACTCAACTTCCTCAACTGAAGGCTAAACTCGGAAGACTTCCTTGCCGCCTCCAACCAGTCCACCCAGCATCTCCCTTCCCCACCCCTCCCCCCCAGAATGCCATCCCTCAGGCTCCAACCCTTAATCCCCACATCCTCCTCTCCCCTCCCCCACACCTCCTAAAGCCAACCTCCCAGAAGTAACCCCTCCCTGCCCGGCCCGGGTGTCAACCTACAGGGCCAGAGATTAGCAATTTCTGCTTTCCAAATCCAGCCTCAAACCTCCACTAGTGAAAGGGATGCAGGCTGCAGGCAACTTCCTTTCCAAGGTCTTTATTGGTAGCTGGTGGCCCAGGACCACCGGAATGCCTCTAGGATATTCAGGAAGGGGAAGCTTGGGAGGAGGGAGACCTGAAGCCTTTGGCTCCTTGTTTGAGGCCAGGAATGTTAGGACAGCAATCAATGGCTGTCTAGGGCCATAAATGCCAAACTGAAGAGAATAGGTCCAGAGGCCAGCCTTCCTCCACCCCCTGCCCTGCGACACTGAATTTCAACCCCCACTGTGCTGCCCTGCTTTAGAACTTGGGATTGTGACCTACCCCATTCCCTCCCAGCCTGGCCCAGAATGGAAATGAGGCCTGGGATCCTTAGGATTCCCTTGGGGCAGGAACTGGACAGCAAAGACCCCTGTCCTAAACTGTAAGGAGGCCTCTGGATGGCTTTCAGGCCCCGGAATGGATCCTTCAGGGATCTGCCAAACCTATCCAGGCCCCAAGGCCTAAGTTTTGGATGACCACCGGGGTGAGGTCTGCTTAAAAAGGGGACGCGGCTGACTTCTCAGCTTTCCGCCCCTTGGGTCGGGTAACTAGTTTCCCTCACTCTCTCCCGCCCTCTGAGCTCCATTCAAACGTTAAAGGCGCTGGGTGCTCGGGGCGGCTCGGGCCCGGCATGTGCTTCCCTGGCCGGCCTGCTCACCCTCCCCCCACCGGCAAGCACAATACAACCTTAGTTTCTGCCACATGGGGTCACCTCCCTGCCCCCTGCCCCCTTCCCAGGGGAAAGAGGTAATAGACACGTGGTAAGCCGGAGGGGTTCCCGGAAGGGGGCGGGGGGTGATGATAATTGGTGCTGCCTTCCATTTCTGCCCTAAGTAACGGGGACTCAGAATTGGGGTGCCACGGCAAAGACGGGGACGCACAATGAAGGCCCCAATCCTCAATTCAACAGCCGAGCCCGGCTGCCCACCCATGGATGTGCGCTCCTAGACGCACTTTCCCCGGAAAAGTTACTGGAATCAGTCTCACCTGGTGCACAAAGACGTCCACAGGGGGGTCGAGGGCGACCCCGGCGCGGGCGGTCATGGACAGGAAGCCGAACCCCATGCGCACGTTGAACCACTTACAGATGCCGGCACCATGGAGCAACTGCGGCTCGTCCGCAGCCCGGGCCGCGTCCTCCGGCGCCTCCTCGGGCGCCTCCTCCGCCGCCTTGGCGCAGCCACCTGGAGATACGGAGGACTGGGCACTCAGCTGGGGGGCCACAGCATCGGAGAGCCCTCCCAGGGAGAACCGAGTGTCCAGCCCACGGGTGGACACCCAGGACGGGGCAGCTACCAAGCGGCCGGCGAGAAGAAGCCTGTCTCGGTCGCCTCCCGCGCTCCCCACCCTTACACCTAGGCCAGTGGTGCCCCGAAAGTTTTGCTCCTCTTGCCGCAACACATTTCCCGGGGACACACTGCCCGACAGGCCCCTCCTCTTCGCTACCTCCGCCCTCGTAGCCTCGGCGTGCACGCCACTGGGACACCAGGGTTCCTCGCTCCAGAGGTGACCCCAGGAAGCAGGAGGCCGTACTGACTCGGTGTCCTTTGGGCAGCCCAGGAGTCACTTCCCTGTCTCCCTTCTATGTACCTCCTGGCCGCCCCTGCATCCTAAGGTGTCCCTGCTAACTCCCGAGCTCGAACCTGCAAACTGCTGGTTGGACACGGAGCCCATGGTCGTCGGCTGAGCCCGCGGCCCCTGGCCCCTGGCCCCTGCTCAGGCGGCTGCTGGCCCCAGAGAAGTCCGGAGGCAAAGGGGTGGTTCGGAGAAGAGGCTGCTACATCTTCCCCCGCACAATAGCGGTGGGAGGGCCCACGGCTTTTCAAAGGCTCCCAAATTCTAAAAGACAATGACCCAACCCCCCGCGGGCAGCCCCTTCCCCTCCCCTCTCTTCTCTCCCCTCCCTTCCCCTCAGGCTCCAGCTCGGGCCCTCCCCCACCGCTCCTGTCTCTGACACCTCTGGGGTGTCCCTTCTCAGAACCTGGAGGTTTGACACCCCCTCCCCACACACACATCTGGAGATGAAGGCCGTCTGCCCTAGAAGTCGGGGAGCCCCGAATTTGGGATCCTGTACTTCAAGCACTCAGTAGGGGTCCCCAAAGCAGATACAGGTGGGGAAAATGGGGGGGTAGTTTTAAAACCACGTGACTGCTCCCACACACACTCACACACCACCCCCACCCCCCGCGCAGATAATTATACATTCCAGAGAGTTGGGGGAGGGAGGTGTGAGCCTGGCGGCGCTGGCCAATCAGAAACACAAACCACCTGTCAAGGGAGAAATGGATGAGCCCTCCCCCTCCTCCAGCCCTTGAGGGCCCCTCCCCCTCCCTTCCCCCTCAGGCCACTGAGCTGACCCGGCTGCTTGGCGCTGACCCGCTCTCACCCCCCACCCCCGTGTGCTTAGATAGACCTGGAGTTCTGGACACTAGGAAGCCTGGATGGGGGAGCAGGGGAGAGGCCAGAGACCCAGCAGGGCTGATCGGTCCTGACCCGGGCGCTGCCTCTCAAGGTCTGTCTGCCTCTCACTACAACAGAATGTCTCTTCCTCCCAGAGTTTTAGACTAAGAGTTTTTCTAGATCTCACCCAATGAGAAGAGAGAAAGAGCTCTTAATTGATTGTGTAAAGAACCTTTCCTTCTTTCTTTCCTTCCAAATCTGTGTCTAGAGTTGGCCCCAGGTAGAGCTCCCTGGGACAGCAGGAAGAACCTAAAGTCTTGTGTGTTTCTCAGTCAGCTGCCTTCTCACCCTACCCCCACTCCGTGCCCATCCCTGCGGCGACAGGGCGCGGGTGGGCTGGTGGTAGAGGCACTTCCTCCTGGACTCCCAACACTGTTTGATTCTCAGACCCTCCTCGTTTGGGAGTCGCCAACCCAAAATGCGCTCCTCTCCTCCTAGCGGGGTTGGTGCAGGAACTGGACTAGGGGGTCTCTTCATTTGAAGAGGTAGCCGCCCCTTCTAGGAAATAAAGAGGGCTGTCCAGGGGGGTGGCTACTGCCCTGGTCGGAGATGGACAATGGCCCGGGGCTCAGTGCACGGCCCTGGCCCTGCCCCTTCACTTCCGGTGCTCAGTTCAAACTGGACAATGCCAGCTCCGGCCAGTTCCCCTCCCCCACCGCTACAACCCATTTAAAGGGACAGAGCCTGCTTTCGGGGCATCCGCTTGCTCTGAGTTCAGTCTTCTTCATCAAGTGTGCGGAACCTCTCGAGCTTCTCACGCTGCAGCCCTGTGTATGTGTGTGTGTGCATATGTGGGTATGCGCGCGTGCGCGGGCACGAGTGTATTTTAGAGAAAGGGATGAGTATGGTTAGTGAGGGGAAAGACGGGGAGGAGAGCAAGAGACAGGATAAATTATCTCCCTTTCTTTCCTATGGAGTGCTCTCCAAGAGACTAAAGCTTAAGTGTAAGGAACAGGAGATAGGACTTTGGGGAATAAAAAGGACAACTGTGACCCTTTGCTACTCAGCCTAAAAAATACATATCGTTAACAAATATTATTAGCAGTGGCCCATTCCCAAGTGAGTACTCTAATTTAAATCTTTCAATAACTCTCCAAGTACGTCAGCCAAAGCCATTTTTATTTACATAATTCTCTCCGTCTAAGAGTCTTATCTCCCCCATTAGTAGCGCCCTTAAAATATATTCACTCCCTGTACCTCTGTCCAAAGATTCAGGAGCAGGTGGCTGAGGTCTGTCTGAAGAAAAGAGAGGGAAGAGGAAGTTGAGCGTGCCCGCTTCGCTTGGTCGGTTCTCTAGCGACGTTCGGTTCCCGCCGCATACTCAACCAGTGTCTCTGTCCAGGGTCCTGAGGGCGTCAGCAGCTCTGTCCGCGGTGCTGAATTAAGCCACGCACTCTTGGCTGCCCGCTCACAGCTTTGACAATGCCTTGGAGTTCCCACCTCCAAGTCCTTCCCAGAAAACCTGATTCTCCTCAACCCCCCAGTCCGGTAATACTGACACGCTTGAGACAAACGAAGAGACTTTTTTTTTTTTTGACAGTTTCATGTCTTTATTACATAAACATTATGATATTTCTCATGGCAGTTGGTCTTCAGTTTGCTCCTTGCTTTCACAGAATGTCAAATATCTGTAGAAATTGTCTAAGAATGATTTATGAAACAAATACTCCCTTATCCCCACCAAAAAAAAAAAGCCTCATTGGCTACATTTTCCAACCAGATTCCTAAGAAAAATAACAGGACTTGTTTATATTACAGTGTAATACATAAATTTCTTTCAAGATATAAAAAAGGACAGACTTCTAAAATATGAGTCTCCTTTCGTTTACAAAGTTCTATAAAAATACATTAAGTAGGTTCAAACATTTGTTGTTTGACTTATATTCCAGTTTACCAGAAACAAAAAATAGCAATTCATAAATATGCGAACTACATTAATCCTGAAGCAATATAATGTCAACATTGTCATGAACACCTTGCAAAAGTAGCTCTCCTGGGTACATAACAATCTTCCTTCGTTTTGCAGCTTTGAGAGTTCCTACCAATGCTTCAAAGAGGTTGGCACATTTGTCATCTCGGAAGAGGACCCCAAATTTCACACTTAACTTTCCATCAGCATTTTTTGAACCCAAATGATGAATTTCCTCCACTAAGAGGTTAACTTCATGATCCACATTCATTGCTACCTCTCGGCCTCGGTTTCTTCTCCTGTGAAGAACGGGGTGCCGCCTCAGTCCGGACCCGGGTACCTTCTTCAATGCACCAGGGAGGAAGAGGCTGAGGAAGGAAGTGGCTGAAGCACGGAGAAAGACCCACGAAGAGGCTTTTTGAACACTAAAGAGAGAGCATTTCCAATAGTATTAATACATGATTCCGTGAGAGCAGTGTGCGTAACTCAAGCTCGCCTTCAGAAAAATGAGCAGACCTACTCATATGGCTGTAGAGGGTGAGGAAAGAGGATATAATTTTTTTGAGTCAAAGAATACCAGAATAGAATAGAGACTAATCTCTGTTTTCATATTATTTTCTTAATTACTAGCACTTCTTTTCATAGGTGCATAGGCGTTGGAGTCAGATTACCCATGTTAAATGTCAGCTCTACTATTAACATTTACAGCTCTGTGACCTGGGGCAACTTCCTTAACCTCTTTTGCCTCAGTTTCCTCCTCTGTCCAGTGGGAATAATGAGAATGCTTAACACTCAGAGATATTGTGAGAATGATGTTAGATAATGTATTAATAGGCTTTTAATTCCTGACATATACTATTCATCTTTTGCGCTAAGATCAAGTATAAAATAGTGCCTGACATATAGTTAGTTCTTAATAAGTAAATAAATTATATAGCATTGTCACGACTTGTTATAATTAACTGCTGGATATCTCCTGCAAAGACCTTCATGTCCACAATCTGCAATCTTTTTTTTTTTTTTTTGAGACAGAGTCCACTTTGTTCAGGCTGAGAGTGAGTAGCGTGCGTCAGCCCTGGCTCACACAGCACCCTCAATCTCGCTGGCTAGCGATCCTGCCTGCCTCAGCCTCGAGTACTGGGATAACAGGCCAATGCCCACCATGCTGGCTATGTTGTATATATTAATTAGTTCAAATTCTTCTATTTGGTGAGCAGTTCTCGTCAGGCGCTGGTTTTCAACTCCTGACTTGAGCGACCCGCTCAGCCTCCCAAAGTGTAGATCAGGCGTGAGCCACCGGCGCGCTCTTTTTTTTTTTTTGAGAGGGTCTGCTATTGCCCAGCTGGATTCAGTCATCTGGGCGCGATCAGCCTACTCGATCAGCACGAGTTGACCTGCTCCGTTTCCAATCGGGCGGCTTCACCCCTCCGTTTAGGCAACACTGTGTCCCAGCTCCCGGGGTCACATATTGATGACCGAAATTAGTGCGGACACCCGATCGGCATAGCGACCTTCATGTGATTTTTACCTCTGCATCTTCTCCCACATCTTTCAGTACTAGAGCCAGAGAAGCCACCCAAGAAAGTTTTCTGAATAGGATTTAATTGAAATTATGAACATTATAAAATCATAAACTTATTGTCCAGGTGGCATCTCTTCAAGTCTATTCCCAGAAGAACTCAAGAGGGGTTAAGTCTCTTAAGTTCTTATCCGTGGAGGGATACTTTAGGAAGGAACTATGGCCCAACATAATTGATTCCTCATCCTCAATGGGTTTTTCCATGTGTGAGATGGCGGGACTCTTGACCAAGCCTTCTTCCTCTCTTCAGGGTTCATTCAGTGAAACTTATAGGTACCTAATGACAATTTGTGAAGTTCAAGAGTTTATGGAGGAATCGTGTATATACATTAGTAGTGATCCTATACCAAAAATGAAAGAAGAAACATTCTCTTCCAAGAAGTTATAGCCTAGGCCCGGCGCGGAGTGGCTCACGCCTGTAATCCTAGCTCTCTGGGAGGCGAGGCGGCGGATTGCTCAGGCAGGATTCAAAACCAGCCTGAGCAGAGCGAGACCCGTCTCTATATAAAATAGAAAGAACTAATTGCCAACTGATATATAATAAAAAATTAGCCGGGCTGGTGGGCATGTCCTGTCATCCCAGCTACTCGGGAGGCGTGAGACAGAAGGATCGCTCGAGCCCAGGATTGAGGTTGGTGGAGCTAGGCTGACGCCATGGCACTCACACTAGCCTGGCAACAAGCGAGACTCTGTCTAAAAAAAAAAAAGTATAGCTATAGTAGAAGGAACAAATACGCTGAAAATAGCTAAGTATTATAAGTTCCTTATGTACTGGTTTCTGAGAATAATAATATCTAAGTAAAAGGGGGGAAATGAGGTTCTTTAGACAAGACAAGGATGTCTAGTATCAACATGAAAATCTATTTCCCTTATGGTATGTTGGCTAAGTCCTTTGTGCAGGAATTCTATAAAATTTTAATAGCTGGGCTGACGCAGTGGCTCACGCCTTAATCCTAAGCACTCTGGAGGCCGAGGACGGCGGATTACGCGTAGGTCAGAGTTCGAAACAGCCTGGAGCAAGAGCGAGACCCTGTCTCTACAATAAACAGAAAGAAATTAATTGGCCAAGCTAATATGTATATAGAAACAAATTAGCCGCATGGTGGCACATCTGTAGTCCCAGCACTCGGTGAGGCTGAGGCAGTAGATGACTCTGGCCCACGCGATTGAGTTGCTGTGAGCTAGGGCTGACGCCACGCGACGCACTCTGCCTGGGCAACAAGTGAGACTGCTGCTCAAAAAAAAAGTTTAATAGCTAAAGAGTCTAGTAAAATGAATATTAATGACAATTCATTCAACAATTACTAAATATTTTTTGAGAACCTCCTTTGTGACAGACATTTTTCTAAGGGTTGGGATCATAGTAGGAATACAACAAAATATATATTCGTGGAGCTTACATTCTATTCTGGTAGACAATAATAACAGCCATTATTTATCAAGATCAATCTTTTCCTTATATTCATTCGAGCTCTGTCAACCCTGATAGATAAGATTCAAACTCCACTTCACAGGAGAGGAAATTGAAGTTTAATGAATCAATATAGCTTGCCTAATATTGTTCAGCTTATACATGGCAGAGGCAGATTTGAACACACACCTGTTTGACTCCAAAACCCACATACCTCCCCATTGCTTTTATGTGTTATCATGACGTGGTCCTAGTAATATTTTACCAATGAGGAAAAAGATATAGGCAGGCAAAAAGGCTGTGTGGAGGGAGACTGTATATTCAATGTAATTAATATAGGACCCAAACTTGTGATTTCTTGTCCCTAGGCCATTCTAGCCTGTCATTTCTATTGATCAACCTTCCCATTACTCCTTGGCTTTCTACATCAAAGAGTTGGCCAGAGCCAAAGAAAGCCTTTTCCTGGGTAATCAGCCAAACCCAGCTCCCATTTCTGCTGTATTTTGAGTCTCTGTGGTGGAGTCCAGGATGGTGTTACAGGTATAAAATCCTGCACATCTGTAATGCCAATGATGGTATGTATTTGAGAAAAGTATTTCCCACAATGTGTCCCCCAGGATAGTGTCATGGGATAATTAATATGTATTGCGATTTTTAAAAATGTTTTTATAGTGAAGTCATTTGTAAAATGATATGTTAACTATGTTTCCTATGCAGGGATTTTTAAAGTGTGTTAATATGCTGTATGATTCATCAGGAAGGGAATATGCTGTGTGCAGTGCTTCTGTTTATTCATTCACTCACACATCTGACAAATATTTATTGAACATCTATATATATTAGGCAGGACTGTTTGAAGCACTAGAGATATATTGGTGAACAATACTGATAAAATTCCTGCCTCATAGAGCTTATATTCTAGAGGAGAGAGAGAGACAATAAACAATTAAGTCAAATGTATCTTATATATAGTTCCAGCCTGTTAATTTGCTCTGTGATCTCAAGCAAAGTACCCAGTTTTACCCTTTAAGCGTAAAATGAGAGAATTGTATTAGTTGTTAGACAAATGTTTTTTTCAGCTGTGACATTCTAAAGTGATATGATGTGTGTGTGTGTGAGGATGCGGGAGATCTCTTTCCTAATTCACGGAGAAACAATCTGCTTTGGACCCATGCTGTCATCCTCATCCCATTCTAGGGACTAGGGCTTCCTGTATCCAGCATGATTCTGTGTCTCTCACCTCTTGGGCCTGTTGAATTGGCAGGAGGATGAGCCGAGGGAGTCCCTTCCTTCTTTCAGCCTGCTCCCCATGCCGGCCCTGCTTCACAGAGCAAGATGCCAGGCACTTGCTTTCACCAATAATGGCTTCATTAGATTGAAAGGAGACCAGAGTGACCTCAGTGAAATAGACTTCCTGACCCCAGCTGACCTCCGACCCTCACCCTGACAGCCTCTAAATCTTTTCCTTCTGACACATCCCCCACAAGGTATAGGCAGGAAGAGAAAATGATGAGCCTGCTATAGCCTGCTGTCCTGTGACTGCAGCTCTCCAGGTGTCCGTTCGCAGGGAAGCTCACCATACCCAACTGCAATGTCCCTCATGGCCACTGATCCTCTCAGTGATCCTCACCGCGACTCTAGTCTGGTTTGTGCATCACAATCCATCCAGCTGTCATTCACCTGGTGTCCATTTGTTTGTATCCAGTGGTTGTCATGTACCACAGAGGCAGAAGGCAGGATGTCTAACCAAATGCTGTCATTTCCCAACACTACCTCAGTCTAGGCCTTTCACCTACTCTCCTCTGACTCTCCAGTTACTGTTTATTGTGTGCTGATTGAACACCAGGCATGGTGCCTGGTGTTTTGTGTATATTTTCTCTTTCAGTCCTCAACCATCCTAATAAGATCCGCATTTTGCTGGAGAGGAAACTGAGACTTACTGGTGTTGAGTAACTTGTACCAATTCATAGATCACAGGGGTAGATCCCAGGTCTTGCTCACTCTGATATTCCTCTTCTTCTTTACTTAAAAAAATACTGTAGTTAAAGTAATTAATGCATATGGTTAAAAAAATCAATCAATATTGAAAGAATCATTCAATAATTCTGGCCACTAGCCACTCTACCCTCGCTACTCCCTTGAGACAACCACTCTTTGTGCCATTTCTTCTGGAGGATATTTCCATTTCCCTAAATAATATGCATGTATGTCTATTCCTTGATATATTGATTTTAGATCTGATCTATTGATCTTCTGCTATGGTAGTGAGGACTTACCTCTCTTTCAGGGGCCACCTCCTCTGTCACCTTCCTCTCAGTATAGTAAAATCATCATTTTCAACTAAATTGCTAGCCAGTGTTTACATTGTCATGATTATGGAAATGTTCACTCCATTGCCAAGTAGAACACTAGGTTAAAATTTCTTTTCTTTCTTTCTTTTTTTGGTGACAAGGTATTGCTATGTTGCCTAAGCTGGACTCAAACTCCTGGGCTCAAGCAATCCTCCCGCCTTAGCCTCCTGAATAGCTGGGACTAAAGGAAAAATTCCTTTCTTACACTGCTTTTTATTTTCTCTGGACTCTCTAACTGCCTTTCCCCCTTTCCTGAACTATTTATCATTGAAATAGCCTGAGCTATTTTCAAAGCCTCCATCATATTATTCTTTTCGTTAAGCCCTTCCCCCAGGGCCCCAGCCTCTTTCCTGAGACCCCCCCCAATTCTGGTTGTTCCCTGGGCTTGCCTCCCAGAGGTCATCTGGGGGCTCCCTCTCACTTCTTTCCAGGTTAGAGCCAATGTATCCTGGACCCTACATCAACAACTTTCTTGGTTCACACTTGAGGAGCACATCTTCAAAGAACTGCCCAAGGAAGGGTGAACAGGAGTGAAATTTTCTGGACCGTACAAGTCTGAGTATGTCACTATTTTATCCTTACTTTTCAATGGTTTCAAATCCACACTGTTTTTCACTCTGCTCTGAAAATCCTTCCTTCCCAAAGCAAGAAAGACACTCAACTTGCTTTGAGGACACTGAGGTCAGAGATGTTTTTTCTGTATTCTGAGGTTTTGAACACAGAGTTATCAGTGGAATAACAATGATGATAGCTGAGACTTTTTGAAGGCTCACCATGTGCCAGGTACTGTGTGAGTGCTTTACATAATGATCTGCTTTGGTCATCACGAGAAACTTATGAACTAGGCATGGTTATTAGTCCCATTTTGCAGATGAAGGTGGGGCACATAGGGGTTAAGTAGTTTCCTCACAGCCATAGAATAAGTGATCTTCAGGATTCAAACTCTGGCAGGTTGACTCTGGAATCAGCATTCAGAGTCAATAATCTACACTTATTCCATTAGATGAGGCTTAGGAGTTAATATCTTTAGGCCTTGCCTTTCTTCCACCCCATTTTGTAAATATGGAAGCAATATCTAAAATCCAAGTAACTTGTTCACGGTCCCATAGCTAGTAAATAACAAGAACTAGAAAGCCAGGTCTCCAGCTTCCTGGTATATTGCTCTCGATCTGGGAATGTAGGTTCAAATTCACAATTCTCCCCTGTTTGATGGGGAGAAAGCTAGTGGAGAAGACAGATATATAACTAGACAAAGGCATCAAATTGTGGCTGGGACATATAATAGAGACATATATAATGTACTGTGGGAACAATGAAAGCTCATACATATTATATATTATGGAAAGCTTCACAGAGAAAGTGGTCTTGGGGTAGACCTTGCATAGGCTTTTGAAAGCTGGGATGAGCAGGGCATTTCAGAGGAAAGGAACAGCACAAATGAAAGCAAGGAAGCTTAAAAGGGAACAGCTTGTTTGAGGAAAAGCCACAGAGTTTGGTTCCCATATTAGCAATTTCTCCATGTCCCTGGGGATACATACAGAGAGAGACCTGTAGTACATTCAATCGATCTTCAATGATACATTCATTCAACATTTTGTCAACAATAGAGATAGAATGGTATGGTGGCTGGGCGTGGTGGCTCACGCCTGTAATCCTAGCACTCTGGGAGGCTGAGGCGGGCGGATCGCTTGAGGTCAGGAGTTCGAAACCAGCTTGAGCAAGAGCGAGACCCCGTCTCCACTAAAAATAGAAATTAATTGCCCAACTAAAATATATAGAAAGCTAGTCTATTCTTCTCAGCCAACTTTCACCCCAAAGAATTCCCAGTCCTGCCACAGGTTTATAGCAGGAACCTGTTTCAGAACACACTCACCTACCCCACCCCCAACCCCAGCCCAGCAAACGTTCCCAAATCTGCCCGCCCGCCGGTTCCTGGGACCAGTATCCCACCCCAGCGCTCCGGCCAACTCACTTCTTGATCGACTGTTCGGGAGGATGAAGAGAGACGATGGAGGACTCGGCCGTATTTCGTATTCAAAGCTGAAGTCCAGGAGCTTGAGGGATATTAATGTGCGGGAGGAGCAGAGGTGGTCTGCAGTGTAGGGAGGATGGCGTAAGGAGTCAGACTACGGGGTAGGGAGGAGAGCTTTAGTGTTGCTGATCGAGGTGGAAGCAACCAGGTCAGGAGTCTTGGGCACGGGGAGGGGTCCCCGAGAGCCCCGAGGAAAAAGAGAATTTACCACGCAGTGCATGTCCCAGCCTCATGAGGGGGTCCTGGCCCTGGTACTCTCGGCATCCAGCAGGCGCTCGTTCCGCACATGACCCTTTTCTCAGTCGCCATAACCACGTCTTTTGTTATTCATTCCTTGCAGAGTATTGTTTGAGTTGCACTGTGTGCCAGGCACTGTGGTGTGACGCTATGCCACAGACCTGGAAAGAATACAGTCATGAACAAGAATAGACCAAACAACGTTCCAGACCTCGATGGCACTAACAGAGTAGGATACGTTGGATGATTTCATATAGTGAAAGGGAATTAGATAAGCCTTCCTGAGAAACTGAAGATTACTGATGCCTAGAATCTTGGACCAGTGAAAATAGTGAAAAGAGGTCGAAGATTGGAGGGTGTGTGTGTTGGGTGTTTTCAGGGCACAGGAAACAAATTACAAAGACCCTGAAGCAAGAAATATCAAGGGGCCTCTTTTATGAGGGATGGACAGAAGCTGTGTTTGGGGGCCAGATTGAGTTTTGGTCAGAGATTTAACCCTATTCTCTGTGCCCCCTGGGCCTCAACTTCCTGAGGTTCCTTTCGAGTAACCAAAGCTCAAAACTTGTCTGTCTACAGTAATAGGTATTTGGGGCAGGTGAGGCTAGGGGGCGGTATATACATACAGTAATGAGTGAGTGTGCACCATCTGAATGGTCGATGCTGGAACGTCAGAGCTTGTGGGGGGAGGGGAAAGGCTTTATTGAAACCTCGGCTAAAATGCTGTACCATAATATGCCGAAATAAAAAAAAATCAGGGCCTTGTAATCTTCACTGGACCTTAAACAAAACAAAAAAACAAAAAAATTGTCTTCCTGAAATGAGTGGAACAGTGTAGATTTGAGCTTAAGGTTCAGCTTTTCCCTGGGAGGAATTGACGTGGATGTGGCGCACAGATAGATACTTTTCATTCCAGTGGAAATTTGAAATGTATATAACAGAACGCTGGTCTGGTAAAAGTATGTGTGAGGTGTGCTGGTTATAAATGATACATGATTATGTGTTAATTTTATACATATTTGGATATGTGTGAGTATTTATCTGTATTCTTTATATTTGTGTATTTTTTTTCATGTTTTATTGTACTTATTTTCAGCTGTGTAATGTGTTGCAATTATCATGACTGTTTCAGCGATGATTAAAAAACATTGCTCTTGGGGTACACATGTATAATATCTTCTTCTTTTCTTAAAGAAGACCTCTACCCCAAAATTTACAGCTCCAGTCAGCCTAAAAAGCCCAGAGCTGCCTGAGGGGACTCCAGACTGCTATCCGATACGACCTTAACTGGCCTGGGCTTCCTCTCCTCTGATCATTCTCTTCAACCTGTTGGATGTCAGTTTGTGCCCATTATAGGGAGGCTGAACTTGAATCACATTGGTTGAGGTTAGAGTCGTCAACTCTCTCCCACTGTAAGTTACTACTTTTTCTGTTTGTGATTTAATAGGTATCTTATGAGAGCAGACATTGCAGATTATGTACAATATCCTGTTTCATTCACAAACTTTCACCAATAGTTTTAGCATCCGATGAATCAGATACTTGCCTACATAAATTATTATTTTATCAATTACAAATGGTGATTTTCTAATACAGGTTCATTCCTGTACATTTATTATGAAAAGAGTTTTCTCATTCCCGTATTTATTTGTATCAAATGGGGATTGGTATGGACTCTCTTTCCAGATGGTCTGTGAATCCATTGCTATCATTATTAATTTTTTATTTATTTATTTTTTCTCTCATTATTCATTTATTATGTTAAATTTCCAAGATTGCTAGTGAACCCTTCAGACTCTTCCTGGTCCTTGACATGTTCTCATCTTCTCTGAGCACAGTTCCTTGCTTATCTAGGCCATGTCGGCATATTCCAGGCTCACCTACCACTTCTCCAGCCAGCGCTGTAGATCAGCATCTCTTCAAGAGCAAGTTTTACAAACTGAAAGCATGATACTTTATGGTTCCTATTGGTCTAGTGCTTTGAGTTTGTAGGAATCCAGTATCTAGTGTATCTTAAAAAGCCTCTAGCCTTTAGAAAGAGCTTGACTTGAGCATCAAACCTCATACTGGCTTTGTGGCCTCAGGTAGTGTAAACCTGGGAGCCATGCTATCCTGTCCTCCCCCCCTTCCACCAGAGCCTTGTGAGGCTGCTCAGCCGGGGAGCTGTGGATCTTGGGCTTGGGCTGCGTAATCCTAACCCTAGCACAGGGCCTGGTGCGCAGTGCGAGCGCCATCAACAGTTACTGAAGGAAGCAATGATGTTACGATGACGGTGTAAAAGATTTGCCTGATGCTGACATACACTCAGCGCTGTCTTGGGATGTGGGCACTGTCATTATTTACTGGATGCGACCTGCCTTGTGGCACTGTTTGTGTGATGTCGAGCTGAGCTACTGTCAGCAGTGCATGATAATGAGTT